CATACTTTCCAATGATCTTTTCATTAATTGATGAGGATTACACATTCATCGCCACTCATATGTCACTGCGTTTCAATTGCAGTCGTGACCAAAGCCGCGGGATGTATCATCATTGACACATCCTCCTTTAATAGACATAACCTGCATCCTCCTTTCTATTTCCCGCGCTTCACATCCACAAATCATTCATTGGCCTTCTTCGTGCGTATATCCGGGTGGCCGTTCCGCCGCCTACGGCGGGCGGCCACCTTACCCTAGTGTCCACGACTGCAACTACGATATTGAGTACAAGGTCTCCCTGCGAGACGTGAGTGTCGAGCCTCCCGCGGGTGACGCAAAACCACGTGTCATATTACGCTAGCATTTCGTGCAAGCTATAGCGCAAGTACATTGGAGCCAGCCCGAGCAGGTAGCAACTTGGCAGCGAACAACAAATGTATAAAGTCTATATTCCGCAAATGAGCCAGAAGCTGGTTCGGCGATTTTCTCTTGCGATGGCAGAATTCCAATGAGAATCGAATTTGTTGGAATCCGAAACAACACCACAAACACAACATGTTCAACACTGCACGTGTGTGCGCTCAGACTTGTCTGCGGCAGCAGCGCTTTTCGCTGGGCCCGCTGCGGAGTGTACAAGGGCAATGGTGCTGTTGGTCATCGCGATGCCGCGAAGAGACAGCGATGCGGAATCAGCGAATGAATGAATGGACGTGGAGATGAATGCAATGGGCTTTTTTTTCTTCACACCTATTTCTCGGTACTTAAGGTGCAAACTGCAAACTCCCGGGCGGCAACAGACTTTCAGCCCGATACTCCACAACTAGAGGCAATGGTACAAGCTTTGAAGAAGCACCACAGTAGGGATTGGTTGTGGGGGTATGCGAAAAGTTGATTGCTCTGTAATCAGGTTATGCCGGCTGTCCATCGTTGGTAGCGAGAGATCTGGTCGAAATGTATGCAGCGGGCCATTCTTCCTTTCTCTCGTTTAGATTGCTTCAAGTATTGACCCATCAGGCTTTGTCGTCGCGGAATTCGTCCCCGGGGGCCCGAGCCAGTTTTCGCGACTTTGACCGTCAAACACACGCGCCACACAGGCCTGGCGAGCTCCGGGTATGAACGATAAGGTGCCGACGAGCCTCGTGCGTGCCCCTGAAAAAGAAACCCGAGAAAAGACTGGCAGCCGGCAGAGAAAGAAATGCCAATGCACATAAAATGACCAAATCTTGTAGGCACATACCATGTGTAGATTAGAATCCCGAGCATGTTGTTTTTTTTATTGGGGGGAGAAACAAAATCCCGGGCCCAACACCTGTGCTCCCGGTGGTCCCAGTAAACGTGACCTTGGTTCTCGTTGACAATGCTGAGAATCATGGGTCTGTGTACACCACTGTCGCGACGTCATGAGGTGACCGGGGCACGGCCGGATCTGGGGAACAACACCGTCCGTGAATGGGCGGTTTGAATCCACACCTGGTAAATGACGTTCTTTTTTTATCGGCGGTTTTGTTGGAGCGGAACCCAACACTTACGCGTGCGTATGTTGTCGACGTAGTATCGTCGGTGTGCCCGTGTGTCATGCCGTAGGCCCTGGAAGTCATCGAGTGTCTGCCGGAACATTCCCATCTACCGCTGATGTAAGGGTCTTGCCCCCCGTAGGGCGCAGCATTGTCGTGACAGCAGTGTTGCAGAACGAGTGTTTTTTCACTCACCCGTGGTAACCTCGGCCTTGTCCTTCTCCCGACCTCCACCGCCTCCCACCTCTATCTTTCTCTCGCCCACGATCTACCAGAAGATGTTGAAGCCTTGCAAGGTTTTATCCTTCGACGTCATTTCGGCACAACAAGCGCCGGCGAACGTATACCCGCTCATGGTGCATTTCTCGGCTTCCGGTCCGGTCGTTTGCATGAGGTGCTGCTTGGGCACGCCGGAGTGCAATTCCACCAGCAATCCTTGTGCCGAGCTTCCCATAGCTTGCACCAACAAGATCACGCCTCATCTCCATCGCGATTATGACATGATCCCGAAACTATTCGCCGCCATCCAACCGCACATGGCCGTCGATTGCGGACTGCACACGAAGGACGGCATACAAATCCCATCCGCTATGTCCATCGGAACGAAGGTATGTGTTTTTTTTGGGTCCGAATTTTCGACGCCATAAGTTCGTTTCCATGAACATTTAACTTGCTCCCTGTTCCCCACTAGGTAACAGCAAAACATCGCCATGTACTTCTACTCCTTCCATCGCGTCTGCTCTTCCACTCCTTCCATTTCCTTCGCCGCCCTGTTCTTGCACAACGCGACGCGAGGTGTACCGAACGGGTATTTGCGTCACATATTTTGGCATTCATGGTGTCGTGTATTTTCAACCGTACGTTCTGCCGCCTGTGCGATCATTCTGACTCATACACACCTGTACGATTTGCTTGACACGACCTGTTGGTCATTTTCGACCCTCCGCAACTTTCCTATCTCTCTTCCTCTTTGCCCTTTCCTCAGGCTGCTCAAGAGGAGCTTTTTTGTGACAGTAAGGAACTCGTCGATCTCGACGGCCATGACCAAGAACGTCCGCGCCAGCTACATCCTCGGCATCACCTTCATCGCCGCTGTCGAGAAGAAGAAATGGGGGCACCAGAACTGTTGGGGCTACCACATCGCCGCCCTCTCCAACGACGTCACCATCATCGAACGCCTATCAAAGACGCCCACCGTAGAAGCGAATGATCTCGCCTCTCGCCCTACCGCCGGTGCCGGCGCCTCTTCCAACTGCCCCGGCACGAACGAAAAACGGAAGGTTCCCTCAGGCGCGCGACGAAAGCGTAAAACCGCAAGGTCCGATCCCCATTCCGTCCCCGCGCCGACTCTTCTGGAGAAGAACCCGAAGAAGAGGAAACCAACGACGACTACCCCAACGACGAACAGGACCCCGGCTTTCCCCCCGGCGACGAAGGAGACGACAAAGAAGACAAAGACGTAGACGACGACGACACTGACAATGGCGACAACCGCGGCAACGACGACAACGACGATGCCGACTCCGATGACGCCGCCTCCGACGACGGCTATGACACCGAATGGTGTCTCCGTTTATCTGCCTTCCTTTGTTCGTTTTTTTGCCCTGAAGTCGGCCACCCCTCTGCATCACAGTGTCCGCTTCGGTCTTTCCCGGCGTATGTTTTGCGTGTTTGTTCGCTGTTGCTTTCGCGTGTCTTCGGCTGTCCTTTCTTGAGTACTTTTTGATTGTGTCCATCTTGAGTGCTTTTCTACGAATCTTCATTCCAAACGATCGTTGAGAGTACTTTGGTACCACGTACCATTGTAGCTTACCAACCGTTGGCCCAAACGATCGATTGATTGTAGTTGTGCATCGTTTTCTCTACGGACCATTTAATTTTTCTGCCCCCATTCGAGTTGTCGATCCACGGTATCGTCGACTATCTTTGCCCATGAATCTGATTAAGCATTGTTGCCCCATGTCATCGTCTTCGCTGAGAATGTTCTCATCGTTTCTACGTGCCTTAGCTAAACTGGTTTCTAATTTGATTTTCTTTCTTCACGTTTGTTGGGTATGTGGTTTCCGCATCCTTTCGTGATTCCCTTTCCTCGCCCAAAATTCCCTGCTATTCTTGTGAATTTCGTTCCATAATTCAACCAAGGCTATGCCTTCCTCTCTCGTGCTTGTCATATTCATCTCCACTTTCACTTCTACCCTATCGAATTGTTGATTTCATTCGTTTGGGCGTATTTTTCTTCTCGAACTATTCATACACATACCCAGATCTCTTCTCGCACTGCTACTCACATTTCTCAACTCGTTGGCGGGGCTTGCTTCTCAGCTTGCGTGCTTTTATAAAGTTTTGTTCGGGCCCCGCCACGCCCACGGCGGGCACCCCCGCACAATGCCCTTCTGTAGTATCAGTTATCAGTAGAATGCGTAGCATCGGAATGACCGTACCTATCGTTGTAGATCTCTTGACGTGAATTTGGTGTGGTATGATTTTGTTTCTTGATATTTCAATGGAGGCGTGTGGCCGCATGATGTACACGGTTAGAGCGGCCCCTACTGCCACCCTGTGCGAGATACCAACGTTTCTTGTTTTTCCGAAGCGCTTCGAGCGATCTTGAGTGTCTTACACTCTTTTTATATTTTTCAGTCAGTCAACATCAAAATATTTTGAAAAGTAAGTTATCGTCCAGAGACTCAATACATTTGGAAAAACAAGAAAATAGGGAAAAAACGTGGATAGTGGTGGTTGTGTACCAAACTCTACCACATGTATGCATAGATGGCATCATGTGCTCGCCAGTGGCGATGAAAGAAGAAGCTGAGCCTCGGCCCGATTTGTTTCTCCGGCCCGTACTCTAGCTGTACGACAATAAAAATATACCATAAAAAAACAGAGGGAACACATCAAATATTCTCAAAGTGGGCCCTGCGCCCTACTTCAGGTAAGTGTGCGGGATAACCTATTTCGTCCGCCCTCGCTGTTCATCAAGACATGGTGCGGCGAAATCACCAAAAAGAAGGAACCTGGGAGGCCGAAATTGTTTCAAGGAACGATATTGTGGTTGGCCAGTAAGGAAATAATGCTGACTTCCCTGCTCCCTGTTCTGGGAAGGGGGCACAACAAATCAACAAAACAAACGAACACCATGTTCTGTGTGAGACACACGAAAGCGGACAAAAAAACACGTGGAAACAACACACCACATGGGCAACAAGACGACCTCCCGGCATCAACCACGGCCGCTCCATTGCGACATGAGGTCACCCCTTACACTTCGTATTCTAGCACCTACAGTAAGTCTATGTGACCACGGTGTAGGGTAGAAAATTTCATGATTTGCACATTGATTGATTGCAGGTAGCGGCGTCCGGTTAGCATGTCGAAAATGACACATTCAAGGCCTCCAACCATGGAGCTCGCCGGTCCTCTTTATGGACAGATACGCGGTGAAGCAGGCAGGTGCCCCCCCTTGGCCCTACCGATTGTTATTCTTATAGTGAAACCCTTCAAGTAGCGTTCCTGCTTGCGCCGCTACCACTTGTGGAAGAAAAACGTTCTCGTAATCCATCGTGTGGTGCCCACCATAGCCTGCAAGAACTCCCCCCTATGTGCGAATAGCTCCCGCTCTATTACATAAGCTACCGGAATGCGTGGATTCTCGGGACACTGGACAACCACCCCTTCTACCAAGCCCCGGTGTTTCGGGTGAACTTGACGGACAGGCACCGACAAACGACAAACCACAGAACGAGATGCGCTCTTTCTCTCAAGTCGACTTATCCCCTCATGGTAATACCCAATGGTAGTCTGGACCCTTTGGGTACAATAACGTCCGCCAAAGGGACATAATGCGGTTAGGGTGGTTTCAAGTCCATACGCTGCACCTAACAAGACCGACGTCTAGCGAGTTGGAGCAGCAATCGAACGCGAGTCCAACCACTTTTGAACATTGTCATTCCGAACCCACACCATCCCGCCCCTTCCGTCGTTGACACGCTTCATCTCGTCCCTGAAGTCTATGTAGCCATAACCATCCCGGGCGTTCTTGACCCTGTCAACTTGTTCCTTGTCCATGAACTTCTTCAGCGCTTCATACGAGGTCCTCGTATCCCTTTGCAACTCTGCGCCGATGTCGTCACCCGAAATAGCACGGAGCAGCGTCTCCTCGTCGAGAGTCCGGTCGACAAGCTCATTGACCAACCCATCTGTCACGTCCTTCAGGAATCCGAGATATCCACGTTCAGCCCTGTCGATGCGTTGAGCGCCACCCTCGCGGTCACCACGGCCACCTCAAGGAAGAGGGCGCACAAACAAAACCACAGCAAAGAATCCACCACATAGCTCGTATCACTCGCATGTCAAGGCATGACCCAAGCAACCGAGCCCCAATATACCACGCCTTGGAAATGTAAACCCGTGTTGCAAGGGGAGAGGTGCTCATTCGGAGTGCGACGACCCTCCCCCAATACAAGAGGGTATCATAAAGCGTGGAACCTCACCGTAGAACCCCATCAGAAACAACAGTGTCACCTACTCCGACCGGCTACGACCCTTGTCGTACCTGAAGGACAGGCGATACTTTCTTCCCCCAACTACGCTTCTCCTGAAATCGATAGCCTTCACCACCATAGCCGCGCGGCACCTTTGTCATGTCGACCGGGCACAAGAAGTGAAGTGTCATATCTTTCTTCCCCCAGCGACGCACCTTGCTCAGCATGCTCTTCTTACCATGAGCCTTCGATGCAGTGCCATCAGATCCAACCTCCTTGACGACCACAAGGCGAGGGAAACGGTAGTTCGGGGCCTGCAAGTTCCTGATGCGCATGAGGCTTTCCTGGGTGCTCCCTNACCTTGCTCAGCATGCTCTTCTTACCATGAGCCTTCGATGCAGTGCCATCAGATCCAACCTCCTTGACGACCACAAGGCGAGGGANGACCGGGCACAAGAAGTGAAGTGTCATATCTTTCTTCCCCCAGCGACGCACCTTGCTCAGCATGCTCTTCTTACCATGAGCCTTCGATGCAGTGCCATCAGATCCAACCTCCTTGACGACCACAAGGCGAGGGAAACGGTAGTTCGGGGCCTGCAAGTTCCTGATGCGCATGAGGCTTTCCTGGGTGCTCCCTAGCACCTTGTCCAGCCTTCCCGATATCATGCTGAACCCGTCCTTCACTTCCTTCTTCACGCCACGCAACTCGGCGTTGGTGTCGTCGACCCCCCCCTTCATCTCGCCCTTTAGGTTGCTGATCCCCCCTTCCACCTTTGCGAATCCCCCCTTCACAGCTGTGGCCACGTCGTCGATCTTTCGAATCAACTCTCCCTCCTCCTGGGAAGGATCCTGCTTTGTAAAAACATGAAGCGATGACAGGCACAGGACGGCCACACTCAGCTGCAAAGCCATAGAGCAATAACAAATGTGTGCCCCGACGAAGAAGGACCGCAATTCTGGTTTGGAACGTTGGGAAGACACATTGAGCCGGGCAGGACGGCCAGGCCGATGCAATGTGGAATAGGCGATGTCAGCATATGCCTCCAGCGCACCCTTTCCGAACGAGGGCATATTTACAGACGTCATTGAAGTGAATTCTTCCTCCCGTTACTGGCCATCCCCGTTCGAACGGGATGGTGTCGTGCACTTGCGCAGACAAGGCTGAAGCGAGGAGCAAAGGAATACGGCAACATCAAGATTGTGCCTCCGATCTCCTGTCTAATGCACACAAGACCAAACAAATGAAGATACAAGCCGCAGAACAAGCCGGATTGCGGCACCTGTCATCGGCCGGCAATGCCAGAGGAGGGTCACAGATGGTTGGTCTTCGAGGGGAATCAACATTTTAGAACATTCAAAGGATGTCAGCTATATCTGAACGTGATTTTGTCGCTCGATGCTCCGAGATCTAGGAATGAATCCCCCCACGTTACGAGCAGCAGCGTAAAAATCACGTCAATACCTGAAGACAAACCGAATCGCCGAAAGACCACCGAAACAGGCCAGAGCTCGATCCAAGCGGTTTCGTCCCCTTTAGTCCACCATAGGCACAGTTTGTCCAAGGAACAACTCCAAAACTGATGTCGGTTTTCCTCCATCGGAACATACCGGAACACATGATGATGCGGCAAAATCATTCCTACCAGTCGATTGTGCACTTCTTTACAACCAAAGGCGTGCAATCCGTTCTCACCGTCGGGCAAGGGAAGGAGTACTGACTGTCCAGGTCGTCGAATCTCGCCTTCACCTCGTTGAAAATCACGTCTACCATGCGAAAATGAGCGGAACAAGTAGGCCAGCACCACGAACAGTTATTCTCTTGCTCACGACGAGATACTCCCATTGCATTTACCCCCATGGGTAGCCCGGGGGGGGTAGCAGCAACGGTCGAAACTTGACCGGGCCGGAGCCATCGAATCACTCCTCCGTGTTGCCTACATTGCGTCACGTACAACAATGTCTTGAGCACGAACGTCAGTCTCGATGACCCCGGCAGGGCGCAGACAATGCAACAGAACTGCAAGCTCGTGCCCCCAACAGTACAATCTATCAGTGGACCCACGGCTGGACTCACGGATCAACGATGACAATCAATTGACGCTGAATTAGGCAAAAGCCTACATATACCCAAACATTGCCGAAAACGTAGGAATCAAAGCACAGGTTGAAACGATCGACCAGGATTAGGGGAAAACGAGGGTATGAAAATGTACATATTGTGGAGAACACCTTCATAAAGGTTGAAACTCCCCAACGTTTGTCGAGGACGAAACCCTCTTTTCCACAATGGCGTCGACGAAGAGATGTCAGGTGTCTGCTTTTGGTTGCAAAAGACACGGGTTCAAAACCCGCTGCTCACCCTAATTTTCTTCCGGAGTACGGAAAAAGAAAAACGGTGGGTGGGCCAAGAAACGATGCACTGTCTATCGAACTCGAAACTTCTGGCAATGCGTGGCGGAAGTGGTGTACCCGCACACACGCACAGAAGATTGTTGAAAAAAAGGTGGTTCTACTCGCCGCCGGCCGGTCGGGTACCGGTTACCCCAAGAAGACTTCTCTTGCCTAGCAAACAAGAAGAAGCCTCGAAAGGGGGGGGTAATGTGGAGAACACCTTCATAAAAGTTAACTCCCCAACGTCTGTCGAGGACGAAACCCTCTTTTCCACAATATATCGGTTGCACCGGAGGTCGAAGTTGATGCACAGGATTGCGAAGACTTCAACAGAACACCACTATAATAAATAAGCCTATCGACCGTGAGGTTCGAGACATCGTGAGGTAATTTCCGTGCCCTGCAATCAGTTGCTTCATGTATTGCTCTTACAGTTTGCTGTTGGACTCCACTGTTGCAAGGGTTACAGCGTGGTAGACCACGCGCAGAACGACAACATTCCTTTTACCTAACCCTCAACCCTAAACGAAAGTATTGTGGGAACTCACGAAAGAACACGAAAGAAACTGAACATTTCCGTGATCCAGTAAAAATACCGCGGTCTAAAGCCTTCCAACAGCGAAGATAAAGCTGAAAGGGAAATGGATAAACCTCAGCCGAGAGCCGGTCGTTCTTCGTTCTGCGTTCTTCGTACACCGCCACAAGCAAAATCTCAATCCGTCATGCCAGTCGCCACTTAGAACAACCCTACCGCGCCTTACGGGTTCTACGTGAGAAGGTTCAGCGTATTGCACGTCCTCGACTGCGATGTGGGAACGCTCGCATGTCTGTTGCAGCAGCACACAGGTACTATTCAAATAGTAACGGTTCGCTCGGTGTGACTTATCGCAGAGGGTGATCATATCGCAGTAGAAAGAACACCCGCGAGACGTGGAGCCGATGCGATCTTGGTCAGTATGGCACCAATCGGAGCTACAATACTGCATAGGGGCGTCCGTGAGACTAGCAGAATCGAATGCATGAATCCAATTGCCGTTGGTGTGGCGGCGATCGCACACGTGGCAGCCATCGCACGGGGGGTCAACAGCAAATCGGACACTTCCGCGCTCACTCGCACTTGTACGAACTCCCTACTGGTCGTGCGTACCTCGGTCCAGTCGGATGTCGACAATGTGCACGAGGTCAACGGTCGCTGCCCCGAGCCCGCCGGTGTCTACACTGCATTGTGGGCATCTACTGCCTTCCAGAAGTTTGTCTCCACCGCTTCTCGCCTGACAAGTGGGATGCAACACGTTTCCCGTATATGTGGTGGTGGAATAATGGCTTAAATTGATCTCGAGAAGTTTGTCTCCACCGCTTCTCGCCTGACAAGTGGGATGCAACACGTTTCCCGTATATGTGGTGGTGGAATAATGGCTTAAATTGATCTCGAGAAGTTTGTCTCCACCGCTTCTCGCCTGACAAGTGGGATTCAACACGTTTCCCGTATATGTGGTGGCGGGATAGTAACTAATTGATCTCGCATCTTGATCCGAGGATCGCCTCAAACACCTACACGTCTTGCACGTAAGGCTCTCTGAATGCCAAGAGAAACGCCGGACGTGAGGCACAGCAGCAGCAAAAGCACTCAAGGCTAACAAATGTCAAGAACGTCTGCATTTGGCGACGCACTCATCATACACACCCATCGAAAAAAAAAGCAGGAGTGAAAATTGATGTCACATTCATGCAGCCACGTGCTGCTGCTTATGCATCGCCGCGTTTCTGAAGACATTCGATTGGCGAAGGTGCCACCTGCACCGACGACCAGCAAAGTACTATAGCTTGACAATACATAACCTTGGCGAAATGACACTAATCAACTCTCCACGTGTGCTTCACTATATGGTGCAGTTTCCTGTGCTCCCAGTTCTATAAGAGATAAACCTACGCAGAGTGAACGGCGCTACAGAGAGAAATAATGCTCCAGACACGCATTCAAAGCCCGCATTGAAAAGAGCACCATGATGGGAAATGGACACAACATACCTACGTCGAATGCACGAATAGACAACAGCACACAGGATCGACTGTACCCAGAACCTGACGAGTCGAGCGACCAGAAGTGTACCCACACTAGCCATTGGCCTGCAGGCTTTACGCGTGTTGAGGGCTTACCTTATCGACGAAGAGCATCGCGTCACGATGCTGAGGATACTTCAGCGAGCCTTTCCAGCGGAGTCCGGAAAAATCCACTAGCATCAGTTTCACGGCCGACATGACGTATGACAGGGCCACCCACGCAGCTGGCGTGCTGATATCACCGAAAATCTTAGCGGTAAGCTCATTGTCGGTGGATGAGTATTCTTATACCACAGCAAACGTCCTGCGCCCATCTTGGACGCCGAGGCTGCCATGCACAAGCACCCCATACTGCCAGAATGTTCGCACACCACCAAGACCGCAGCACCGTGTCAACACCTTTTCAACCGCTCCAGGCGGTACACCGAGAAAGATCTTCCAGCTGGCGCTGAATGCCGGGGTGAGCCCCGAGCAGAAGGTATCCATCACTTTACCGACGCTGTCGGGGCGGTTTGGCTTAAGTCTCAACAGAACCACCAGGCCTTCATCAGGATCATTTTCGAGTGGGAAAATGAGACCCAAGGATGCAAGAGTGGGGAGAGTATACTCCGACAGACCATCCGGCCACATGGCATACGCCAACCTGAGTTCAAGAACGCCTTCCTTCTTGAGCCTGTCCCACGAAGTGATGTCTGATGGATCGTCGAGTGTGATAGGTGAGTCGCCCGTGTCCCTAAGTTTCACACGGCCGTCGAAGGTCTCCTGGTCCTTGTGATTGAGCAAGGACTTGAGGATTCTCGCCAGCCAAACGACGTCCAGAAAGACGAATTTCTCGTGGTGAACGAGGGATCCGTCGAACTCCCTGCATTATTGTCAAGCCAACGGTCGAGTTGGGAAATCCGCCCAGGGTGAGTTCACAAACCATGAGGAGCGGATACGGAAGCGGCGTCGCCACCTCTTTTCCGCAATGGGACCAATACAAATCTTGGTTGCTAAGCCATCGAGCAGGTGCACAGCGGATGGCGAAATTGTACCTACTGTTGGCAGCAGGCCCCACCGCGTGACGAAACCGGTGGCTCCGTGTCGGACTGCCGATTTGGATATATTTTACCTGACTGAGAGAGCTCCCTCCAAAGCATTCTCGGCGTTTGTAACGGTGATTCCTCTCCGCTCAAGCTCATCCACTGTTTCGTGCCATTTGGTGCCCATCTCCTCGACCGTGATCCCCTGATACACGTCTGTCTTACCCTCTGCCGTTTCCGCCGCGTCCTCCCTGTCGGGGTCGGGAGACATGCGCACTACCACCTCCACGGGATCTCTAGGCAGCCAACGTCCAAAGAAAACCAGGGTCAACGTGGCGTTCATTCATCCCGACCGTGCAAGTCGCCGGTGCTTGATGCGTGCTAGTGTACGAAGATGCCATCCGAGCAGCTGCACGATGTGGGCTACTGGTGCAACTAAGCAAAAATAACGTGACCAGAGCGGCGACTCGCGAAAAACACATTGTTGGACAACCGAAAAGCGAATCCGACGGGGTTTGAGCGGAGAGACGAATAGCCAGCGATTGCCGGTGTTCCCACCGCTCTACCTGGTAGTCACATACAAACGTGTTCTTACTTGACTTAGCCTTCGAGACGGAACCGAGATGGAACGATCGGTTTTACTTAGCCTCAACAACCTATATTCTGCGGAATAATTGATTCCTGCGAGTGACGAGGACATATCTGCGTCTCTTCGGCTATTTATTATTGGCGTGGGACCATGGGACTACGTTTCGTCACCATGACGAGCACCAAAGAGCATGCACTGAGTAGAGGCCAGACCGGGTAGTTAGCGCGAAGAACAACCACCACCGCCACCACCGCCACCACTACCGCCAACAGTAATAACCAACAATGAGAGGATACCGGGCTGCTACACCCCGCAGGCTCTAGGCATGCGACAGCCTCCTGTGCAGAACCCAAACACAGAGGACGTAGATGGCATTCCGGTTCTTCCGTGTTTCAATAGCGGCATACAATGTCTGTGTACACAATTTTGGTTCGTGTCGTGCTTGTATGAGTTTCAAGTTGCGGTGCTGTGGTGCGACAAGTTTCCAACAATCAAGAGCTTAAAGGATTGTTTCGCGGTGGTGAGCAAAGTAAAGCGTGTTTTCGAATGCCGCCCACCCCAACATATTGATCGTTTTTCGTGGGTGTTTCAAGGTGGACTTCGGTGAAGTCTCCTACATATGCATAGGGGGGTTCAACCCTATCCCAGTGGGGAAAACTGTACGTGTTCAGATTACCCCCGGCGTCGACCTACCAATGCATCCAAACTCGTTGTAGAGCCCAAACATAAAACAATGATCAATCTCACCGTCCATGCTCGAGAGCTTCCAGAACAGTGAGGGCGATATCCCAGCTGCGAGGAAGAACCATCTGGGTTCCGCGGAGACGTCACGCTTGTTGACGAGCCGGTGAAGAAAACTGGGCGGGGGTTGATCGTCTTCCTCGTCTCGCCAGCCGCATGCCCAACCCCCCTTCGATCCATGGTTCCCAGTACTTCTGTCGCCATGCTCATCAACTCTTTCCGGGAAGCAGCTCGTGAGGCAAACGTGGGACTCCAACCGAACGGGCTGCATACCATTGCGAACCCAGCCCGATAGCCACATTCGACAGGACTTCTCCATTCTGCTGCCAATTTCCCGTGCGTTCCCACCCGCCAGGTCACACTTGGTGGCGACGAGAATGACGTCGTTGTCGGGAACCCGTCGAGATATCAATCGCAGCCAATCGCATATGCGCAATTCTANTTTGGTTGCGACGAGAATGACGTCGTTGTCGGGAACCCGTAGAGATATCGATCGCAGCCAATCGCATACGCGCAATTCTTCCAGCTTGCGGCAGTCTTCCTCAACCCCACCACAATGTTCGCTATCTCGCCGCTGTCCGAACTCCCCCGCGTTGCACACGAGCACGCAAACCGACCGTGGCGTTAGAGGCATCTGCAGCAGCCCCGTGTAGGCGACCTGTTAAACGTGCGAAATGTGATTTAAACATCAAACATAATCGACCTCGTGGCCTCTAATCCTTGCGGATTATTCTATACCTCGCCCAAGTCTGTAGACGACACAATCCCCCATTGACCTATTCGAGGCACGAGCCACCTCCGAGTCGAGAAGGCAATGCGCTGTAGATACTCCACACTAGAGCGGGGGGCTAAGATTCCATGTGGCGCACATAAGCAAACACTTATAAGTGCGGACCATGCACCAAGCACTACCTCAATTCCTGCACACTCAAGTGGCTTTTTCAAGCTTGCGTTCCGTAAGCAACGTGTTGAAAAACTGCGGGAAATCAACACCTCGTGAAATACGTAACACTACGCAGCGCACAGCAGTTCAAACGACACAGGTGCTGACATCTTCCCCCTTAGTGCAACAACACATTCGTGTCAACTGTCTCGTGGCCGCAACCCCCAACGAGACATGCAACAACAAAGCCGTGGGGTCTCTCCTCCAGGACACCTGTAAGATATACTCGCAGCAGTCTCTAGACGTGATGATCCTCAGGGATATGTGTTGAGAATTTCGTATTTTGATGGGTACCACCGATGATGCAGATACGGGGACCCTTTCGGCCTTGGTTGCGGTGTTGAAGGCTCGCGCATCTAGCGCACTGCTTTCGCTCTCTCCACCGCTACCGCCGTCTCTCTCCAATCAAGTTTCCTTCTCCAACGCTTTCTCCAACGCCAACGCAATCTCAATCTCTACCTCTCTCTCTCGGCCTAACACGGCCGACTACCCACTGCCCCAACAGACGCCCAACACGGGCTTGCTGCACCCCGCGTAGTTTACCTTTCACACTAGTGAGAATCAGATTCAGATTCTGCGCGCGGTCGTAGTACACCGGGGGGTTGTGCATTCACGCGCAATCGGTAGACTCCCACAACAAAAACATCATGCCTACCTCGGAGGATTCCGAAATCGACCTCTCCACCCTCAGCAAAGAAGAGCTGCAACAAGAAGTTCAACGAAGGGTGGACGCCCAACTTGCGAAGGAGAGAGCAGAAATCGCCCCACTGCCAGCAGAACAGCAGTCACCTACCATCGGCGAGCAGTCGCTACGTCCCACACCAGCCGACATACCGCCCACCGGCAACCAGCCTTCACCCTCCAGCCAGGGATCCCAATCATTCAACAATCCCACCAACGTCGCCAACATCGTGGCGCAAGCGGTCAAGGCGACAGCCGAGGCCATGTCTGGACATCAGGGCTTTGCCCACACAGGCACGTTTCGTGTCAACCCCGGCTCCGACATAGACCCTTGGCTTGGAAGTGTGAAGAAAGAGCAGGATTTGTATATTATGTTTGATGTTTTTCGCAGTAAGATGGTGTCGTATTTTCAGGAAGAGGGTGTATATGATGTATTAGGGATCACTGATGTCAAGGTTGGCAAGAGGGGTGTGGATCTAGCAGAGCTAAGGGGCATCTTCGGGACTGATGTGGTGGACAAGTCGTTGAAGTTGTGGAATATTATCATCAGCAAGATTCTATACCCTCCGATCCAGAACTTGATCATGGCATGTGAGAGTCCCCAGCAGGGGTGGAAGATCGTCACGAATTTCTACCAAGAGAAGAAGGAGTCTGAGAAGACTAGGCTTGAGCAAGAGTGGTTGGCGTTAGAAATGCGTGAGTCGGAGAACCCACAGGATTACATAGCAAGGTCGGAAGCTCTTCGATTACGTCTTGCCTCAGTAGGAACTATCAAAGACACAACACATGCTTACAAGGACGTTGTGCGCGGCCTTCCCCCATCGTATGCCGTGCAAAAAGGAATATTGCTAGCAAGCGATGTCGTGACTTTGCATGCCCTTGAGACTGTGGTGAGGGACGCCCACATGGAGATGGAGCGCGAGAGGAGCAAGGAGCAGAGGCGAGAGGCGGAGCTCGCCCTCGTCGCGTCCGGTGCGAGCCGGAGCGGCGGGGGCAATGGGGGGGCATCCGGGGGACAAGGAGTAGTCGACGGTCAAGACCGTGAAATCCGTGATGGCGAGAGAAACCGTGACGTGTTCGTCGAAGATCCCACCGGTTTTTGCCGCTACCACCAGTCCGAACTACACACGAACGGGCAATGCCGTTACCAGCAGCATCTGCGGCGGACTCGCACGAGAGCAGCCGCCGAGGATCGCCACGGAGGTGGCGGCGGAGGCCGTGGCGGCGGCTGGAGCCAGCGAGGAGGAAGACCGCCGTCGGGAGCCGGCCGGGGTGGCGGGCGTTGGGTGAGAGTTGAAGGGCAGCAGCACCACACCGGTCATGGTGGCGGTGGCTGGAGCCAAGCCTCACCCCCCCCGCGACCTCTTCGTGGACGTGGACCTGGTGGTCGTCTGGGGCGGCACCCGGGGGGTCGAGGGCCCTCGGGACGCCACAGCAGCGACGGGCGTGCCGAGAGAGAGCGGGCAGGGAGAGGCCCGGGGCACGCGCGTTCTGGCCACGGAAGAGAGCAGGCGTACGTTGTGTACTACGCCCACGATGATGGTGGCTACTACGAAGACTATGGCGACTACGACGACGGCTACTACTACGACGGCGGCTACCACGACGCCGGGTACGCCCACTACGCCGGCGGTGGAGACAGCTACAGCTACCCCTCAGGGTACGAAGACAGCCGTTCATCTGACGGCGGCATCCACTACGTCTACTACCCTCCCGCCGGCGAAGATTCATCATCCGAGCAGCAACGTCAGCCCCCCCCCGCGAGCAGCAGCAGCACCGCTTCCTCCTCGTCCTCTACTCCTTCTCCTGGCGCGCCTCCATCTTCGGGCTACCTCCACCTCTGCACGGCACAATCGGTGCCCCTAGGCAAGTCTCACCCTGACGATTTTTTCAGTAGGATAGGAGTGACGATAGGAGTAGAGTCTGCTTCTAGTGCTTCGTCTTTGCTGAGTGTGAAATCTAGTGAGGGGCCGCCTGGTAGCGAGAGATGGGTAGCTGACTCAGGAGCCAGCAACAGTTTCACCAACAGTGACTTGCACATGTACGACTTGCAGGAGATACCCTCGAATAGGCAGTATGTCATTGTAGGAGATGGTCGTCTGCTGAAGGTGAAAGCAATCGGTAGCATCAACCTCAGCTTTTTCCAGGAAGGTGAAAACGGTGTGCCAACGACGATGTATGTGAAGCTGACTGACGTGTCTGTGGTCGAGAGTCTGAGTTTCAACTTGTTTTCGACGCATGCTGTTTCCCTTCGGCAACGAATAATCCATGACGAGCGTGGTGTGACCCTGCGTAACGGACTGCTGTTTGCTAGAGAGGAGAAAGCTTCTGCCGCCTATGCAATGCGCATGCCTTACGACCCGTCTGCGATTGTGGTAGACTCTGCTGCCTTGCCTGCCTTCGTGAGATCCCCCGTTACCACCCCCGCCGTTGGCTCCACGCGTTCCTCTTCCCAAAAAGGGGGCTCCGCGGAATCATTGGTGTCCGTATTGCGTGTTCCTTCCGCAGGCTCTGCTACCGTAGTACCTTCGAGTGAGAGCGTCCCGCCCACTGGTCCAACCAGTGTAGTACCTGCGAGTGAGAGCGTCCCGCCCGCCGGCTATGCCGACGTAGTACCTTCTTCGGCTTCCGGTTTTGAGTGTGTGGGTACTTTCCCGGGTATGGATCTTGGAGATACGAGTGTGCTCACCGACGAGCAGCTCATGGATGGCTATGATGACACCCCATATCAAGATTTTTTCCCCGTATTTATCCCAGAGAGTGACGCTGCGAATGTGGCTGGTGTTTTGGATAGCATTGACGGAGGTTCTGATTTTGACTTGGGTGCGGCCGCGCTTGGCCCTGGTGCGTCCCCGTTCACTCTTGGATCGACCGAAAAGTCCGTTGACATCAACCGCTTCCACCGCTCCCTTGCCCACGCTTGCGAGCCTCTTTTGAGAGAAACTGCCCAGCAGAGAGGCATCGTGCTCACCGGCAAGCTGGAACCGTGCACGGACTGCATGAAGGCGAAGGGCAGGCGAGCGTCGGTGCCGCGGGGGCCGGGAGCGAGGGCGTCCAAGCCTCTCGGGCGTGTTCACCTGGACCTGTGTGGACCGCTGGTGCCTTCCCTGGGCGGCAACCTCTACCTGTTCGTCGCCGTGGACAGCGCCTCGCGGTGGAACAAAGTCTACGGTCTCCGGCGGAAGTCCGACGCGCTGGCGGCAACGAAAAGGCTGCTGGCGGACGTGGGGCGGTACGACCTCGGACGAATCGAATGTTTCCGCGTCGACAACGGCACAGAGTGGACCCGCGGCGATTTCCGGCGCTTCTGCGACGACAACGGCATCGGCGTCGAGTTCACCCCGCCCGGCGTCCCGCAGTACAACGGCGTCGTCGAGAGCGCCATCTGGCGGATCATGAAGGCCGGCATGGCCGCCCGCCGCAGCGCTGGCCGTGTGTTCCACGTCGACTTCGCCTCCATCCCCGGCCTCGACGAGCGTGGTGACCGTCTTTGGATGGAATCGGCGAAGTGGGCCGCCGACGCTCTCAACCAGTCGGCGACCAAGGCCAACCCCGGGCGGCGCTCGCCGCACGAGATGTTCACCGGCGAGCAGGGGCCGTTCCGCGTGCTGCCGTTCTTCCAGCCCGGCTTCATGCGCGAGGACCGCCGCACCAAGCTCGACGACCAGGCCACGCTCTGTTACTACCTGAACGGCGGCGACAACCACCCGAGCGGCACCGTCAAGGTCCTCAAGGCGTCCACCGGCCGCGTCGTCTACACCAACAACGTGTCGTGGGTGACGTCGGCGCCAGCCGGCGAGGGGGGTTCCGCTGGTATCACCGCTGCGCCGACACCCCCCCCGTTCACGCCGCCGGTCGTCTCGATCAACTTTGGCCCAGCACCGACGCCTTCGACCGCCACACCGCCACCGCCAGCGCCCACGCCGTCGCCCGCTCCCGCTCCCGCTGCCTCTTCGCCCCCTGCCGCAACGCCGCCGCCAGCGACCACGCCGCCGCCCGCTCCCACGACTTCACAGCCGCCCTCTGCCACTTCGCCGTCACCGTCGGCGACCCCCGCTCCTGGCAATCCGTCCTCTGCCTCTCCGCCGTCACCGTCGGCGACCCCCGATCCAGACCAGCCGCCGCCGCCGCCGGACCCCGCGATGCCCCCGCTTACGGCTCACGCCATGCGGCAGCTTCGCCCGGGTACAAAGGCCGAGGGTATGACAGACCCGCGGCTGCCAAGCCGTACGAGATCGGGCACGAGGCACAGCACAGGACTCATCTCGATGCTAGACAGGAACACTCTGGTGTCGATGCTGGAGGCTCGGAGCGCGGTGGATAAGGAGCGCAGGGAGCTGGGGGGGGCGGAGGCCAGGGAGCCGGGGGGAACGGGGGCCGGAGAGCAGGCGGGAGCACTCGCAGCAGTGGACCCGGGGGCTGCAGGAGCGGGCTTTCCACTCGCATTTGCCACGCTCCTCGCCAACCGGGAAGACATCGACGCCACGCTGCGAGACCAGCGCCCGCCGGAGCAACGCCCTGACCTTCCGCATTGCCAGGCCAGCGACCTTCGTGTCCCCAAGAGCTACAAAGAGGCCATGGCGTCGGAGCACCGGCACCTTTGGAGCGACTCTATGCAAAGGGAGTTTTATGGCTTGTTGGAAGCGGGGACTTTTACTCCGGCGAAGTAGCAACTAGTGGAGAACGCAATTAACGCTAAGTGGGTATTCGATTGGAAGGCAGATGAGTTTGGATGGCCCACTAAGGTTAAGTCGAGACTTGTAGCGAGAGGTGATATGCAGAGAGAGTACATTGACTTTGGAGAGTTGTACGCGCCTACCGTTTCTGTTTCATGTGTTAGGATGTTGGCTGCTTTGGCGTGCGAGTTGAACCTCGACTTGTGTCATTTCGATGTTGAGCAAGCTTTTGTGCGTTCGGAGTTGGAGGAAGACGTGTACATGCGTTTGCCGCAGGGATGTGGAGCTCTATCAGGAATGATTGTAAAACTAGGCAAGAGTCTGTATGGCTTGAGACAGGCATCTAGGCAGTGGCATGCAATGCTGAAGAGGTGTTTGGTGGCGTTAGGATTTGAGCAGTGCATGGCCGATGCTTGTGTGTTTCGTTTGATTGAGGATGGATGTGTTGTTTTGATTTTGGTTGTACATGTAGATGACATCTTTGCTGTTGGAGAGAGGGAGAGATGTGATAAGTTTGGCGCTGACCTTAACAAGTCCGTGCCAGTGAAGAACCTGGGAGAGTTGAGATGGTATTCTGGGTGCTTTTACGAGAGGAATAAGGAGACCGGTAGGTTGACGATTTCTCAGCAGACTTTCACGGACGAGCTAGCAGCAGAATATGGAGTAGTGGGAGGTAGGAGCGTTCCGATGTCTTCGGGTGTGAAGCTTTCTGATTTTGATGCGGATGAGGTGGCGACAGAGTTTCCGTTTCGTGAGCTGGTAGGATCGTTGATGTGGCTGGCGACTCAGACTAGACCAGACATTGCGAATGCAGTAAGGGCAGTAGCTAGGTATTGCGCATCTCCGAAGCTGGTACACTGGAATGCAGCGATGGATATTTTGGGCTATGCGAGGAGGACGAGTCACTTTGGTATTTCGTTTCAGAGAGGTACGGTAGAGGGATTCAGCTTGCAGGGATACGCTGATGCGGACTTTGCAAGCAAGGCAGCAGACCGTAGGTCGGTATCAGGGGGGATCGTGACGTGTGGAGGAGGCGCTGTGTCTTGGTTTTCCAGAACGCAAAAATGCGTCACGCTTTCGACGACAGAAGCAGAGTACGTCGCGCTAGGCGACGTAGTGAAGGAGATTTTGTTTTTGAGGCAGATTTGGCGTTTCATGTTGCCGCAGGTCGGCATGCCGTGCATCCCCGTCTTCGAGGACAACCAGGGGGCGATTCAACTAGCGCAGAACCCCATCTCAAACTCGAACTCGAAGCACATTGATGTAAGGCACCATTTTCTCAGGGAACTGGTAGAGAGGAAGGAGATTTCGGTGATTCACGTGCCGTCTCCGTACCAGCGTGCAGACTTTCTTACGAAAAGTTTGCCCAAGGATGCGTTCGAGTCTCACCGTGATTTTGTGATGAATTTGGCATGAGTTTTTATTATTTTTCTGATGAGTTTGGTTTGGCTTTCGATTTGATTGTTTTGCTTTCCGCGCTAAGTTATTTTCAAGCGCGATGCACACGTATTCATGTTTCTTGGACTTGGTTTTCGTGTCATATATTTTGGAAGTAATCTTGATCGCATATATTCAGGAAAAGACGTCTTTTGGTTGAGATATCCGATATTGTTTCGTAGTTTGCAGTGAAGATACTGTTGCGAGCAGGGGGGATGTAAGATATACTCGCAGCAGTCTCTAGACGTGAGGATCCTCGGGGATACGTGTTGAGAATTTCGTATGTTGATGGGTACCACCGATGCAGATACGGGGACCCTTTTGGCCTTGGTTGCGGTGTTGAAGGCTCGCGCATCTAGCGCACTGCTTTCGCTCTCTCCACCGCTACCGCCGTCTCTCTCCAATCAAGTTTCCTTCTCCAACGCTTTCTCCAACGCCAACGCAATCTCAATCTCTACCTCTCTCTCTCGGCCTAACACGGCCGACTACCCACTGCCCCAACAGACGCCCAACACGGGCTTGCTGCACCCCGCGTAGTGTACCTTTCAACACCCTTTACGAATGAATGAGCCGTGGGGGCTGCAGACAAACGATTTTTTCGCTGGCTCTTCTTTCATACTTCAAAAAAGAAAGAAACCAACATTCCCGCCGGATGAACCTGGTAATTGGCACTAATATCTAATATCAGTAGGGGACACCATCAAGAAGGGGTGTGCATGCTGGCATGTTCAGGTCTGCTACTGGAGCTGAAATATCGAAGGTCGCGGCAGCCTCCGAAAACAGTCCGAAATCTACGCCGGAACCACCAAGCGAAATCCAACATTTGTCACAACCGTGCTCACGCCACGGACCGTAAACCCCTGGACGAAGGGTTGTCAGCAGTAGCTAATGGCATCACCTACTGCTGTCCACCCGCAGTGCAGGAGATTGGGGTCAGTGGCGGCGAGCCCACGCGTACAAGACCCTGGATGTCGGTCGATTTGCGGAGATTTGCGGATATTGTAGGCCACTACTACGGCCCTCGATATCACCACCACAGAAGCAGATTTGGGCACGTCTACACACACCACCCGCTGCTACAGGGTGTCCTCTAGTGATATTAGTACTATGCACCAAGTTCCTGGCAACATCGACACTATTTGAGCGCCTTCCGTATTGGCTCATTTAGAACGGTGTGGATTTTCAGCTTGAGTTCAAAGGAGGCAGGCGCGTGGAGGTAGACGCGTAAAATGTGTGTTTTGAGCAGCCTCTACTGCCGCCCTTTCCGAGAATCAACGATTTATTTTTTTCGCGATGCCTTCCGACTGGTCTTGTGTGTCTGTTGTGCATTTTCTGGCGCTCTTGCGTTTGTGTTCAAAATTAGTCAACATCAAAGCTCTTTGTCTGCCATCTCTTGAGGGGCCCCGCCAGGATACGCTCCCTAAGCCAAAAGTTAGGAGTCAATTTGTTCGGAGTCTGCCAAACTAACGCACCCAAAGGGTGTCGGCGGTCTGCCGTTTCCCCCCGACTGAGGGCCGTTTTAAACGGACCGACTTTTTGTCAAAAATTTTGAAAGTGTCCAAAAAATGGAACCTGTATGTAGGCGTTTGTCCATTTTTTTCTAAAATATTTGGAACGAAGTTGGGCGCGAAAACTTTGCTCCACTTCGTTCCAACTTTTTGACAACCCTCTCAAAGTATTTGGAGCACTTTCCAAAGTACCCTTGCAGAGGCACGCGAGGGCTGCTGCGTCTGCACCACGAGTGCCCCTCACCGTAGAAAGTCAGCTAGGGTTGTGTGTGAGTCATCTGTCGCTGTCGCTATTGCTATCGTCGCTGTTGCCAACGTTGACGATGCTGTCTGCTGTTGCTGTGTCGTCCGAAAAACGGCGGTCCGCCATGATGGCTTGCAGTTGTTGCTTCGCGTCCGCCGCTTTGTTTTTTCCTTTTCCCGGGGGGGTAGGAGCAGTGGTTGCCACCCCTCGCCGGCGGCCTGCTCCACCCTCGCTCTGAGTGTTGGTGGCGGCAGCGCCTCCCGTGGTAACATGAGTGTTCCCCGAGATGCCAGGCAGCAGCACTATCTTGCTGGAGAGCAAGCCTCCACCGCCTACGGCGGCACCGAGAGAGCCCGTCTGCTGGAATTTCGCCGGGGTTTTGGTCTGCCGGCCACGCTGGGTGTCCGTGATATCCATGTCGGTGTCCATGATGTCGTGTTTTCCGCGGTTTGTGTTGTGTCGTGTGTGTTGTCTCGAAGTGAGCGCTACAACTCACGGACGGCGTCATTTTTTTTGACACAAGTTGCACAAGTCCACGTCACACGTTTAAAATGACTGCATACAGGTTACAAGTTTTTGAAAGACAAATGTCGAAAATTTTGACAAAAAAGTCGGTCCGTTTAAAACGGTCCTGAGGCCAAACGCCTTGACAAAACTCGGCGCCCGTGCCTCGATGAGCTCAAAATTCATTACAGCCACGCGATCCCCAAGCAGTTTACACCCGTGCTGTCCTCCACCCGGGTGATGCATGTCGTAGGCTTGTGGTGAAGCAAGCCCTGTAGTGTATGCTATGATATACCAGGTACTTGAACTTTTTCGGTGTCGCGTGAAACAACTCGTAATGGGCAGGACAAGCTGAAAGGCGTTTGGAGATATTGAGTGCAGGATTTCGCTTTTTCTGGCAATCCTTCCTCCACGTAGTCGCTACAGCATCACTCGCATCCAAGGCGGACAGCGAACGATCCTGGGCGACGGTCACGCAACACCTCCTTTAAGCACCGATCATAAACGCTTCGGCATGAGCAACACTTGTCACCTGTCCAGCGCAGTCGTACACCCGAACGGATGAGCCTTGTAGCTCCATGGGTTCCACGTCGGCAAACACCGTGCTCTCCTCCTTCCAGTCGCCCGTGAGGGTTGCTTTGTTGGCCTTCATGCTTTTGCGCAAGCTACCACAATAAGAGAAGAATTTCCAACAAGTACGCAGCACGAATGAAGGAGAGACGTAGGAACAGGGTCGTCGGGGTGCAACAAGGTTGAACTCGCCGCAGTTGAATTGCGGCAGTCAACACCCGAAAGCATGCTGATGCGAGGGAAGAGCACACAGAGTAGGGTTGATCTCGTCCCCTGACAACCATTCGTTTACACCGAGATATTCTACACCATGATTTCGGCAGAAATATGCGTAAGGTATGCAAGACCCCCCCCCGAGTGGGTAAGGGATGCGGGGGGCAATGCAAGAGGAAGGAAAACACCTTGGAAAATGTGAATGTGAATAACAATTTAATGAGGGTGTACAGCGCCGTGTTGGGCAGGTTTGGTATGAGTATCCTGGAGACAAAGTAGAGCTATCCAAACCATGTGGTTGGAAAAGAACGTGAAAAGTGTTTGGTTGAGGAGGGTGAGGCACGCGGGGCGGGTGTACTCGTAGTCGTGCATGCCGAAGTCGTTAGACCATTGACCTCGCGTCCCTACAAAGCAGGGACGGAGCACGCCGGCTTCTAAGTGGATAAGCCCTCACATCACCAAGCACGAAGCACCGTGAGGTATTCGGCGAGTCGCATGAAGGGTGTGCTGCATCCTGCTAAGGGTGTCCCGCATCTTGTGGTTACTTCCTTGCGAACGCATTGACAGCTGCGTATGCGATCATTTATTTTCTGATGCTTTCACTTCCAGAGACAGTTAGAAACACTGTGTGACTGCCTCGAGGGTACTCGACCAATGTAACACAACTTGGTACGATCATCCCCTTTGCGCGGAGTGAGGGTTATCTACCCCGGACAACATGATCTATTCGACCACCTCTATGGCTACCGAAAAAACAAAAAAACAGAGGCCATAAAAAAAACGATGACCTGGTTGCCGAGCGCATTATGGCTATTTCAAAAACAAAAAACAGAGGCAATAATAAAACGGTAACCTGGTTGCCGAGCGCACGGATTGATTGGCCTGTTTTACAACGTCGTTGCCAAGTGACGAAAACCCAACCCCGATGGCAAACACCGAGAGGTGAGGCGGGAGGGTGGGAAATGAATGCCGGCGGGAAAACCTCAATGGCAAGTACGCGTAAGCGCGAGGGCAGGTAGTCTTGAAGCGAGTAGCAGAAAGATGGTTGAACCCTGGATGCGTATTGGTTTGAATCCGAATCCGTTCGATGTATCCGTGTAAATGAATGAGTGGCTGGGTGGTGCATGTGTGCGACAATGTCATGATGATTTTGTCCCATGATGTCCTGGGTCACCAAAGGCTTCTCTAGCAATTGCTCTGAGGAGACACGCTCCATCACCTACTTCTTAATTAACTGTTCCATGCTGGTGGCGGCGTACGTCCTAAACTTGACACTGCGAATGGAAAAGACGAATCATCAACCATTAGGTTTCGTGTACGTTGTGGCACGTCAGGTGCGTCGACGGCTTGCAGGAATTCCACCGACGAAACCTCGGGGATGCCAAGGCTCTTTCATCAATTCTAGATAGAATGGGGTGTTGGGGGCGCCCCGGCCGGGGTCATGAAGATGGACAATCAATCGGCAAAACCAGAAAATAGTAAGCAACCGAATATACGGGAGAATGCCACTTCACAACAGCACTTAGACAGGCATAGGACCCAGGCGGAGCAGCGTGTGTTTCTACCAAAAAATGGAACATTTAGAAGGTGGACACACGTATGCATACACAGCAGCAGCAGCAGCGGCAGGAATCGGACGCGAGGAGACTGAGAACAGGGTGTGTTTATAAGGAAGGGCAACGAGAGAGGCAGAACCTGCACCAGTACCTACTGTTAGAGCCAAAACGGCGTCCCATCTCTCACATTGCTACTTGAATGGCATACCCGATTTACTGAGCATATTACATTCCTCAGCGGTTTACACTTCTGGCGGGTGTGTCTTTTTATTATTAGCATCGACCGCGCTAACCGGCTGACCAATGAAAAGACGTCAGTCTTTCGGATCAAAAACAGAAACAGCAGCAACAGAAGAAAACTGCACCCGTCTGCCAAGGCTATTACCTATTACTCGAGTTCGTTTAGGAATACTTTCACCAGTATCCTCCTTGTGTTCGCTACCATCACTCTGATCCTCATTTCGACAAGAAGAATCTCTGGGCAGTTCTTCCCTAGCCCTACGTTTCTTGTTGTGGGGAAGGTCATCTGGCTCAAACCCTTTGCTCTCTTCCACTCCTCCATGTTTTCCTGCTCCATGCTCGTCTTCGTCCTCCTTTCTTCCCTTTCCCTTTCCTTCGTCTTCGTCACTCCCAAAAGAATTACCCTCACTACTATCGTTGTCGCAGAGATCCCAACCGATTGGCCCTGGTGGAAGTTGGTCGATCAGTAGCCCATGACGTTTGAACATATCGCGAGTTCGCATCGACAGAAAACGAGCTAGCTCGAAGGTAAACCGTCTCCGAATCCTGTTAGTATGAAACGGTTTCAGGGGAACTGGCGGGTGTGTGTGTCTGGGCAACAGCAAGCGGAAAAAAGGGGAAAGGACGTGCGTTTTTGAGTCACCCTGTCCGGGTGCGGTCGAAAGCTGCTCTGAACAGGTCAATACTTGCTTGAAACCAGACAAAACGCTCCCCGAACAGTTTCCGCGGCTACCAACCTGAAAACACAACTATGTAACAATTGTTACAAGGGATCCCTCTTGAGTGGGCTTCTGAGCGTGAATTGTCATCAAGGGGGTGATGTAAGATGCCAAAAATGCACTATGATCGTAGCAGAATCGGCCCAGAGCTGGCCGCCGGCTGCAGGCTGCCGGTTACGACGTTTGCCAAGGTCAATAGTGCACAGCTAACGTATTTTTCACCCAAGAGCCCAGTGAACCTCAACGAGCACAAAGTATCATAATGTGGTATACAGTTCAATGCCAAATTTTGATGGCGCGAGTGATCGCGCACTCTCCCAACATAGACCGACTTTAAAAACTCAATTGCTCCACAACAAAAAGAGCACCAGTCCCGAAACGAGAGGTTTGGACGATGTTGTCGAGAACATTCTTCCATCTCTCGTCAGGTTTTCGGCTTTGGAGCGATCGAGCTATTAGAGTCGCGGTATAGAGGTGGTGCGATCACTCACTCACTCTAGGTACAAGACCAAGTACAATCAGAGCCGCGCATGGAAGGTTCAGGCGTGAAACGGCATGTGTGGCTACCGCTCTCCACAAAACAAACAATTCTCTGGGGAAAAGCGACAACTGATTGTAGTATGGTTGATCGAACTTGATATAATACCACACTGTGTCAACTGCGTTGTATCGAACGATTCCGACCAACCAACGTTCGGTGAGAGTGCAGTAGTGTATGACGGATAACAGCAGGACCATCACATAGCTGACCTCGTTTTCCCTGCGCATTCCTGACCGACAAGGACAACCTTGACGCTCCTACTCTCGATCCGGCAGGGCTCCGCATACAGGTCTTCGAAATACCCTCTGATATTCTTCAGCCCTTTGACAACGTTCGACTTTGGTGGTTCAGCCCATGGGTCACCACCGAGCCTAAGGGTATTCAATCCAACACTGCTGTCGAGGACATCAAGCAACCGGCACAGCTGGCTGGGCATTGCTCCACCTGACGAGCAACGTAGAGCACGCGCACATGATGGGATGATTATCATCGCCCGCGCCACTAGTGATCACGAGGCCAGAGGGTTGTGAATCCAGCAATAAGCTAATTTACCTCTGGGAATCTTCGTAGTCCCCGCGTAAATTTTTTAGTTTTTACTTGTGGTTGATGCACGATGGGTGACCACATTGAGACGTTACCGCACGAGACAGCAGTAAAGCTACAACAGGCTGGATCACGCAGCAATCCATCATCGACACACAAGGCCGTAGGTACCACCAACGGACGTCCCACGTCGTGGTGTGTGAAAGGTATGCTACGAGATGTGGGGCAATTTATCAGCCCCTCATGGGTTCCACCTTTGCCCAAAAGACTGAGCCTGCCTTCCAACCCCAACATTCATTCCTCACATGGTACACTTCCCATAAGAGCTCCGACAAGCTGAGAATTTAGTACAGTATGGAACTGCTGCTGGCATCGAGGACAACCAGCATCATGTACGCCCGTTCGCCACTGAGGTTTTCCAATTCACGTCGATTACCGCTAGTCCACTCACAGGCAGACAATCGACTGTCTCGAGGGTATCACTTTGGGCACCTTGCTAAATGTAAGCATACCTGGCATGCTGCCACTTCCCTCATTGTGGTCGACATCTTGAACCTTTTGGGCGTGGTACCAGAGAGCTGCCAAGCAAACCGAGAGTGCCAAACAGAGGTAAACGCAGGCAGCCAAACAGAGCCGGACCAGAGTGAATGGATTCAGCAAATAAAGGAGTGATGTCGAAGGGCAAGGTCGTGGACATGCTCGGGATACAAAAAGCACGTAGGTCAGACGCAAGATCACATCACCGACTGCCGCGACGGAACCGTGGCCTCAAAGCCTACCGAGCAACCTGTGACGACAGTCTTGGCTATTCCTGTATCAAAACGAAGAATGACACGGCCGTTGATCAAAGCTCCTGCATGTGCAGATTATACCTAGTCGTGTGGGGGCACCCGTTTCTGCTCCTCGTCGAATTTCGAGTTCGTCTATTCCTGGACGATTGAATGTCGTTAGGCATATCAACAACTCATTCATTCAGCTGAAATCGGTGAGGCAGATCTCGTCAGTTGCCGAACCCTCGAGTGACGCTTGAGTTCAAGTTTTAAACGTTGAAATGAGGAACACCGTACATTCCTGTGCCAAAAATTGTGACACCGCTGAGCTGGTTATATTAAAGGTAGAGCGCATCTAGTGCCGCAAGGTTCCCCAGCACGGGTGGAATGGGGCCTGCAAGCAGAAGAGAAAGTACAATGTTCGCGGGGGATTAACAATGAATTTTCCGACTTCTAGAAATGCCTACTCACCAACACGTAAGTGGACGCCAACGCGGTTCATTCAGAATCAACACTAACAATATATTGAAACGACGCCAAAACAACAAGCTTACCTGCGAGCTTGTTGTTGTAGAGCCACCGCCGCCGCAGCTCTCGGAGATCTCCAAGCTTCCGTGGGATGGGGCCTGCAAGCAGAAGAGCAAAACGAGGTCATCGAGGAAAAAACAATGCAGCTACCCGCTTTCGAGAACAACTAATCACCAGGGCGTAGCAGAAGATGTCCCGCGAGTTCCGCAATTGTGAATTTTCGTACTCGCCCACGCAGTAAGCGGTGTTCATGCATAATTCTACACAAGTCCAGTGCTCACCTGAAAGCTGGTTACTGAGAAGGCGAAGCTCCTGTAGCGCAGTTAGCTCCCCTAGCTCCTTCTTCGGTATTGTTCCTGTGTGTTTAACAACTGTATGGTGAGAAAAAAAATCGTCATGAAAAATAAAAAAACATCCCGGCTTACAGAGTACCTACTCGCCTACGCGTCAGTAAATGCCAACTGCATCCGCGAGATTAATCCATAGATCAAAGCTAGAAAAAATTTAAACCGGCATCAAAATAAGGTACCTGTGAGGTGGTTTTCGCTGAGCTACAGCTCCTGCAGCTGTCGGAGATCTCCTAGCTCTGGGGGGGTGTTGCCTGCCAAACAAGGAAAAATAAGAAGTTGGCGGGAAAAAACAAACTTAATCCTCCGGCGTCTAGAACAACGGTCCTGCCAACGCTTTGGCAGGACACATGTTCGAGAAAAAATGTGGAATTGGCTGTGAAGCACCCCCTCACCGGTTTGCTTGTTGCTCCAGAGCTCAAGGTCCCGCAGCTTGCTGAGAGCTCCTAGCGCTTTGGGGATGTGACATGCAAGTACACGGCAGCGGACAAAAAAAGGGGTATATTCACAAATTGTTCTCGAAGATGTGTCCTGGTACGAAATATCACAATTGCGGGACTCGCGGGACATCTTTTGCTACGTGCAATTGTGACATTTCGTACCCGCCAACGCAGAGGCGGGATTAAGCAATCCAGTGTGACGCGTGCACGCCGAACAAATCGGAGACACTTACCGCTGAGTTTGTTTACGTAGAGGCGGAGCGTTTCCAGCTTGACGAGCTGTCCTAGCGACGCCGGGATTTCGCCTGCATGGTATTTGGTATTTGGGGGATGGCAAGAGTCGTTTCGTGCGTAGCAAAAGTATCCCGCGAGTTCCGAAATTGTGAAATTTCCTACTCGCCTACAAGTAGGCGGGTACGAAATTTCAGAACTCGCGAGATAACTTTTCTGTACCATGCCCAACTGCCCTGCGCTGAGTCTCTCGTCTACAGGGCATACCCCGCCGCAGCTAGGAAATCTTGGCGCCCTCGAGTACCTCGACCTCGACAACAACTTTGATGGTGAGTTGAACATTTCGAAATGCATTATATTTTCCTTCGAGCTCTGAACATGCATGAAATCCGCGTATGTTCATATTTTCCCTTCGTCTGGCAGGCAACATCCCGCCAGAGCTAGGATATTTCTGACAGCTGCAGCAGCTGTGGCTCAACCACAACCACCTCACAGGTACCTACCTACCTACCTACCTACCTACCTACCTACCTACCTACCTATTTTATTTTGATGGTCGGATTATTTTTTTTCTAGCACTGATCCATGGATGAATCTCGCCGATGCGTAAGCGAGTGCGGCATTTCACAATTGCGGAGCCCGCGGGACATCTTTTGCTACGCGTTGGCAGGACCGTTTTTCAAGACGCCGGGGGATTAATTTTGTTTTCTCCCGCCAACTTCTTATTTTCCCTTCGTCTGGCTGGCAACATCCCGCCAGAGCTAGGAGGTCTCCGACAGCTGCAGAGTCTGTGGCTCAACGACAACCACCTCACAGGTACCTATTTTTTTTTTGTGGTCGGATTCAATTTTCTAGCATTGATCCATGGATGAATCTCGCCGATGCATTGCCGAAATTCACATCGGCGAGATTCATGCACGGACTCACGCAAAATCGATCGGGTAAGAGCTATAAACTATCGTGTTGACTCACCGCTCAGCTGGTTGCCGGAAAGGAAAAGCCCCCGCAGTACTGAAAGGTGCTCCAGCTCGGATGGGATGGGGCCTGTAAGCAGGAGCGTGATAGAAATCAAGAGGGCACAAAAGATTATATGAAACCGCCTCTCTATTTTAAAGACAACTGATCTCCGTAGATCTTGTCCCTCCTGCTACGTTGGCAGGACCGTTTTCAAGACTATAACAGACGCCGGGGAACTCATTTTGTTCACCTGCCAGCTACGCCCTGGTGACTCACCGCTCAGCTGGTTCCGGTTGAGGGCTAGGATGTGCAGTGAGGTGAGCTTTCCAAGCTCCGGCGGGATGGTGCCTGCCAGATGAATTAGCGGGGGAAAACAAAATAAATGCTCCGGCGTCAAGTCTGGAAAAACGGTCCTGCCAACGCTAGACGGGTACGAATTTCACAACTAGCGGGAAAACTTTCTGTACCGTGCCCAACTGCCCCGCTTTGAGTCCCTCGCCTACAGGCCATATCCCGCCGCAGCTCGGAATCTTGGCGCCCTCAAGTACCTCAACCTTTACGGCAACAAGTTTGATGGTGAGTTGAACACTTCGAAATACATTTTATTCTCTTCGAGTTCTGAACATGCATGAATCCCGCGTATGCATACTCGGCGAGATTCATACACGGGACTCATGCAAAGTCGGTCGGGAAAGAGCTATCCAACTTTGGGTTGACTCACCGCTCAGCTGGTTGCGCTGAAGGTAGAGCGCCGTCAGTGCTGAAAGGTTCCCCAGCTTCGATGGGATGGGGCCTGCAAGCGGACGGATGGAACGGGTAATTGAGCGGGACAAAGAAAAATAATCCCCCCTCGGTGTTTGCCATCGGGATTGGGTTTTCGTCGCTTGGCAACGACGTTGTAAAACAAGCCAATTCACTTCGCGAACTCGGCAACCAGGTTACCGTTTTTTTTTTTTTACCTCTGTC